TGGGCATTTTGGGGGGGGGGGGGGGAATGGTCCTGTGATAAGTTTCACTCAACAAATATTTATAAGGGAAGTACCAGGCACAGTTCTATACACTTAAATATTTGGGAAATGCTGGGTAAGCAAAGAAAATTGATATTTATACTGCAAAATCTTTATTGTTTTTAGCTCAAGGGAAAGGCTCTAGTTTGCGCTGTCTCCCAAATTTATTAAACCAGTGCTCTTTTTCTGAAAAGCATATATATATATATATTTCAGAGAGAGGAAGGGAGAGGAAGAGAGATAGAAACATCAGTGATGAGAATCATTGATCAGCTGCCTCTTACACGCCCCCTACTGGGGATCAAGCCCACAACCAGGGCCTATGCCCTGACGGGGAATCGAACTGTGACCTCCTGGTTCATGGGTCCACGCTCAACCACTGTACCACACCAGCCAGGCTGAAAAGCATTTCTTATGCCTCAGATTACACAAAAGCTATATCTTGAGAAATACAGTGGGGCCTTGACTTACGAGTTTAATTCGTTCTGTGACGGAGCTCGTAACTCAAATTACTCATATGTCAAATCAATTTTCACCATTACAATGACACGTGATGCTGGGCTGATGTTGTGGCGTTCACTGTTTACTAGCGGTGGGGTATCTGAAGCTGGCTCGTAACCCGAATTTTAGCTCGCAACTCAAAGCAAAAATTCGGCCGAGAGATGGCTCGTATCTCAAAAAACTCGTTAGTCGGGACACTCGTAAGTCAAGGCCCCACTGTACCAGATTTTACAATTTAGGATCCAGGAAGTGAAGTTATCAAGAGACACATACTATAGTAGCTAGTCTCCACAGGTTCACCCTTCTTGGTATTCCCACCCTTGTGTAGTCCTTTTCACACTGAATCTAGGCTGACACTGTGATTATTTTAGCCAACAGAATGTGGCAGAAGGAAGACTGACAACTTAAGAAGCCTGACTACCTTGTCAAAGAACTACATGGCCAGGGCGAGTAGTTGTTGTTTTAAGCCACTAAGTTTTCAAGTAGTTTGTTAGGCATCAATAGGTAAACAAAAAAAATAGATGAATTGTTTTGGAAAAATTATTGCATGAATTTAATATATTGTGCCTAAATTCTATTTATAAATGCATATGTCTGTTTCAGAAATAAATCTTTTTAGAGCAGGGGTCAGGAACCTTTTTTTCTGACAAGGACCATTTGGATACTTATAACATCACTCACTTAATAAAATTCACTTAATACAAATTTATGAAAAAAGCTCCTAGATTTATTGAATTTGAGTCCTGCCTGCAGTTGCCTTGGCAGGGCCAGACTAAATGATGTCGCGGGCCTAACATGGCCCGTGGGCCCCGGATGTTTCCCACCCCTGATGTAAAGAATATTTATACGATTTTATTTGAGCTAAACTGATGATATGCCTGGAACCAAGATGGCAACAGATTGTGAAAAATGCTTCTCAGAATGGCAGTTTGCAGCTTCTTTTTATGCATTCTGAATTAAGGGGGAAGCATAAGGAAGATTACATGGGCGTGGGAGAAAGCAAGCAGGAAATGGAAGATGGATCTTTTGACAAGACTATGTGCTCTCTGGAGGGTTGTTGGGCTTCTGAAAAGAGACATTTCAAAGGTGTGTTAAACTAGATTCCCAGAAACAATGGACAGGGTTTGCTTAACCCTTTATATGCCATAAGCATCTATAGACGCAAGCAGCGATTTTTAAAATTAAATTCAAAATATCGTGGCATATGGAGATGGTTCGATTTTGGACATGTGGCAGTTAACTGGTTAAGGCAAAGATAAACCTTTTACTAAAAAAAGTTATATGCCTGGGGCATGAGGACACCCCAAGACCTGTCCAGTTAGGAATGTATGATCAGATCACCCTGTGAGGCTACTTCCCATAGAACCCCTTTTCATACACAAGTATTTCCTTACAAATACTTCAAATAATATCACTATTTACTGCAATCATTTGCCTTCATTTATTTTTAAAAATAACCACATTATCAGTGAAAATTAAACATCAAATAAAGTTATAAAATATTTAATCATAGAAAAGCCCATTTAATTGTGCATATTTCTTGCAGTAAATAAAATTAAAATATTTCCATACAATAAGGAATTAAGAAAAAAATTGGATTGAACTTGAGGCATCCATTTGTTTATAATAGAAAAATCTAATTTAAAAGCACATCTGCTCATTTGGGCTACAATAAATATCAATACAATTAGGAAATTATAAACCACTAACATAAAAACAAGTTCCTAATTTTAGTCAGAGAACATTATCCAGTTATTTACAAGCTTGGAGATACTTATTATTTACCCCACTGAAGGTAAAATGCACCAGTTAAACAGTTTTCTTTCTCTCCTTCTCCAGCTTTCTCCTTCCCTCCTGCCCAGCCTTCCCCTCACCCCTAATCCTTTTCTCCCTGGATGTCCAGATAATTAAGTAGGTCACACTGGTGTGAGTTTTTGTGAGGTAGGGTTCTACAAACCCCAAGCCAGTCAGAAACCCAGTTGTTGTATCACTGTGTTGTAATAGGGAGAAATCTTCCCTATTTTAGTATTTCCCCATTTCTAGGTTGCATAATCTAGCAACATAAGAGGCATAGAATCCTAAATCACAGCTCTTCACTCCTTACTTAAAAGCTGTATTCTTGATTAACTTTATTGGACACAACTTCCAGATATTCACTGGGAAATTATTCCATATAGAAACTTTAGTAAATGAAATTCACTAAAGCAGAGTTGTAGATTAAGAATTGAAATTTTTAAGAGTACGTTTTTATTTTGAAATTATGGAAACACATTTCAAGATAATATGAAAAGACACACGAAATTACATTCTGTCCAAGAAAACACAAAGTTAATGTTGTTAAAGGAAAAACTAAAAGAAAGGAAGGCATTGTGGAACATCAGAGACAAAACTTCTACTCTTCAAGCCAATGCGTCATAGTACTTGCCATGTTCTGAATGTTTATGTCCTCTCCAAAATCCATATGTAGAATCCTTGCCCACAAAGTTGACGATATTTAGATGTGAAGTCTTTGAGAGGTGACCGGCTTATGAGGGTGGAGCCCTC